GGTCATGAATGTACTGGGTCTCAGCTGGGACCTGCTCCGGGGCAGGGGGAGAGGGTTGCACCTCATCCCCCCCAAAAAAGGCATGCCCTGGTATAGCAGAAGGACTGAGGGGCTCAGAGCAGCCACCCATAGCCCTGTCCTTGTCCCTGGGGACCACCTGCCCTGCTCCGGGGCAGGGGGATTGCACCTCATCCCCCCCGCCTTGCCCGAGGGGGGGGCAAGGCCCTTGAACTGCACGTTGATGTGCACCTCCACCCCCAGGAGCAGAGCCACCTTCAGCAGGATCAGCTGGAGCTGCCGGATACCTGGGAGGGGAGAGCGGGCACTCAGGGCTGCACCCCCCCGGTCCCTGGGCTCCCCGCAGTGGTGGGACCCTGGGGGTGCAGAGCTTGGCCCCCCCCCCCAAAACTCACTGATGTGGTCCAGCGTGCCGGTGCAGAAGCGCCCATAAAATTTCTTGGCGCCCAGCGCCCGCAGGTCGTGGATGGTGAAGGGCCAGAGGTGCAGGACGTTGTTGCGGGAGAAGGAGTCCCGCTTCTCCACCAGCACCACGCGGGCGCCCAGCAGCGCCAGCTCGATGGCCACCCGCAGCCCGCAGGGGCCGGCCCCCACCACCAGGCACTGCGAAGGGAACGGGCAGCATGAAAGGGATGGGTACCCCCCCCCCAAGAAGCAGGGGTTTGGGTAAATCCCCAGGGAGCTCAGCACCACCACAGGCGGCATCTCCCCCCTTCCCCGGGTCAGGATCTGGCCCTCCACACTATTCCCCTTTTCCTCCAGGTGCAAGCACTGCTTCTCCCTGCAAAGCGGGGGGCCCTGGGGGGGTGCCCCCCACCTCCCCAGCTGCCTGAACCTTGCCTTTGCACGGGGCAATGGCAGCAATTAAAGCGCTCAGCGAGATAAGGCGCACACGTCTCCTGCCTGCTGCAGCCCGGAAACGGGGAGATTTCACCAGCAACAGGCTCAAAACCAGGACTCGGGTTTGATCTCCTGCCAGCCCCTGCACAGGGCTGGGCGGACGACGGGGCACCAGCAGTGGGGACAAAAGCCATCAGCTCTGGGACAGGGGGACAGAAATAGGATCCCCCAGCCCCAGGGGGACATCCTACCCCGGCATGCTCCTGTCCCCCAGAAAGGGCTTGGCAAGTCCCTCTGCCCCTTTGCAGGCCCCCATGGGATGTCCCCAGCGAGAAACAGCCAGGAGGAGGAAGGATGCCGCTGGCTGGGTGGCACCGAGGTGGCATCACACCGTGGGGAGGGGAGCGGCGCTAATCAACACCCTGTCCCATTAAACCCCATCAACCTCCCGCCCGGCACATCCCACATCCTCCCAGGGTGGGGGCCAGGGTGGCCCAAGGGATGCTCTCACCCCAGGGACAAGGATGCAGGGCAAGGAAAGACCCAAACCCCGCGCCCCGTGTCCCCAGTACCTTGGTGCTGGCACAGGCTGTGCCCTGGTCATAGTCCTTGTGCCCGGCTTTCTTATCCAGCTTGCTCCACAGGGCCTTGGCACTCCAGTAGTTGAGGGCAGCCTTGAGGCCATGGTAGAGCTGCAGCCCACTGCCCTGCAGCCCCAGCTGCTGGCACAGCTCCCTGAAGCAGCCCAGCACCTCCTGGCACTCCCCGGCACGCAGGAACCTCTCGAAGATGGCATGGGCCGGGTTGCCCGGCTCGTCGGCCGGCACGCTCATCCTGCTTCACCCGGCAGCCTGGTGAGGGATGGCAGAGATAAGTGTGTGGGGGACCCTCCTGGACCCCCATCTTCAAACCCATCCGATACCAGACCTGGTGTCTCGGCGCAAGGTTTCCCAGCCGGGGGTGTCGTTGGGTGATAGTGCCACCAAAATAGGGGCCCTTTCCGGCAGCGGCTGGCGGAGCCTCCCCCAGGTGCTGCACCCAGCGAGCCACCGTGTCACCCTGCCACGGTGACGTCAGGGGAGCGGCCGGGGAGGGCAGCCGTGGCAGCAAGCGGCTTCCTCCATATGGCGTGAACCTGCAGCAGCCGAGAGCAGAGCGAGGTGTTTTGGAGCAAAGACGCTGCTTCCTTCTTCTTCACCCTCGGCCTTGCCAGGAGAGGGATGGGGAGGGGGGTCCCAGCCGCAGGGACAAACCACAGTTGCCCCGAAAAACAGCAAGACCCAGCCCCGGGGCAGGAGGGAGCAGGATTGGACACATCCCGCCAGCTTGGCTTTTGCAACCAGAGTGGGGCAAGTTTCCCCCCCCTCCTCCACCAGCCCCGGCATGGGGCGGAAGCAGATTAGCACAGAGGAAGCACCAGTGGGGAAACCAAAAAAAGCCAAACCACCACACGAACGGCCCCATCACACCAGGGAACCTGCGGGAGGAGGGGTGCAGCGCATCCCCCCCCGTGGGCACCCTAAACCCCCCCTGCCCCCGGCATCTCCCAGGGTCCAGCACTCCTTGCATCTGCCTCCTGCTCCTGCCACCGTCCCCCCAGCACCATCCCAATGCCACCCTCTGTCTTGCCAGCCTGAGCATGAAGCACAAAGCTTTGCCCTTTCCAGCCGTTGCCACCAAGCCCCGGGGCTGGGAAAGCCTCCCCCAGCCCGGCAAAGCAGCTGGCGGAGACGCGGGGCTGCCAAGGAGGAACCGGTGGAAAGGCTCGGGAAACCTGAATGCTCCTACCTTTGAACCATCGCTCTTTGCCCTCTCGCCGCTCGGCGTTACTGTCGGGCACACGGCGGCACCCCGAAGGCGGCAGCCAGCCCCGGAGCAGGACACCAGAGGGGGAAGGACGCTGCGTCCGAGCTAAGCTGCCCTCGGTGGGGCAGGGGAAAGGAGGCATTTAAGCCTGGGCTTAAGTTTTGTCTGGAAAGCCCAAATTCTAGCTGGGTTTCAAGTTCGGTCTCGCTCCAGCAGCTTCTGACACTGGCACGGCACTTTGCAAGGCCAGCTGGAGTCACAGAGGATGCAAAGCACTTCTGCAGGTCACCTTCCCTCCCAAGTATCACAGCCAGGAAATCCTGGCATTTTAACCTCTTCCTTCCTGGGCAGACACAAGGATAAAGCATCCAGCCAGGCCGCAGCGAGAGCAGGCACCCACCAGTCCCCAAAGTGGCAGCATGGGGACAGAGGACACAACCGATGCATTCGTGGTGTGGCTGTGAGACCCGGGGACAGATTTCAGCTCTTCCCCCGAGCGGTGCCAGCCCTCTGGTCCTACCAGCGGGACAAAATGAGGAGCCTGGGGAAACTGAGGCAGCGCTGCAAACCTCACCGGAGAGCGCAGGCATGCTGTCCCACCAGCCACCCGTCCTCCTCCTGCGGGAGGCTGCCCGGGCAGCCGTGCTGGCTGGCGAGGCTCCAGTGCCCCGTGCTGCCTGGGCATGATGGGTTTTCCCCTGGGAGCTCACGTTACTGCACTGGCGCCTGCCAAGGCCACCATGCAGCAGCCCCAGGGCGATGGGGCAGAGGCAGCTTCCCCGGGCTGGGAGCACCCGCTCCAGCATCACCAGCCCCTGGCTCTGAAAAAAAAAACCCCCATCTCAAGGCCTCGATTCCCACCCAACACAATGCCGGGGGGAACGCGCCACCCTGGAAAGCTTTCCAGCCCCGGCGCTTTGGCAGGGAGGCTCGCAGGAGGCAGAACAACAAGCCTTGTGTTACACCAAGTTTCCTACGGAAATGATGCTCCTGTCGGCACACTGCGTCCCCTTTGGCATGCTCGAGGCCCCCCAACAACTGCAAGCAAAGACAGAAACCCCCACGGATACTTAGTTCCTGCAGGTTTGATGCAAACAAACAGCTTTCAGCCCACAAAAGCCAGTGCCGGCGAAGGAGGGCACGGCGCTGAGCCAGGCTGCCTCTGGCTCCGCTCTCCCCATGAACGCCTTTTGCATTTCTTCCTTTAAAACTGCTCCTGCGAGCTGGAGGGAGGGGCGGGGGTGGGGGTGGGGGCTGCAGCCAGCCCTGACTCAGCTCATGAAGGCTCTGGTTGGGGTGGCTGCAGACATGCAGCCTACGAGGACGTCACCACCGGCACACGTGGAGCATCCCTGGAGCAGGGACATCCCATCCCGCTTTGCGGGTCGGGGGCTCCCCCCTGCCCTTGCACGGAGAGAAGCAGCCCCTTGGGAAATGGCGGGAGGGGGGGAGAGCCGCCCCGGGGGTGCTGGGCTGCTGGTGAGCTCACATGTCTCCCAGGCACATGGAAATGGGGTTGGAGAGGACGCGGCTCCATACGGAGCTAATGAAAACTGGGAGGATTTCCAGCAGCAGCAGATCCCCTTCCTGCTGAGCCTCTTGCCTCGGTGCTGCGCCGGTTCCCAACATGGACCAGGCTACTCCGGGTCTGGGATCCAGCCTGGAGACCCCCGGGCCAGGCTGCTGAGCCGGGCTGGACCCCGGGAAAATCCTTCCAGCAACTTCAGGGATAGCCCCAAGGCCAGCAGGCAGGATGGAGGATTTCTTGTGGCCGTCCAACAGCTTGGCCAAAGACCCTGCTTTTGACCGCTGGCTGAGCTGGGCCGGTGCCGCAAAGGGGCAAAGGCGGCGGGCGCTGCTCTTCCCAGCGTTACTGTGCTCAGGAGAAACATCCCAGGCGTGGGACTGGACAGGGAGATAGCCTTGGCCGACCCCATAGAAACCTGCCCTAATTTAGCTGGCTTTTAATCCTTGGAGGGAGGGGAAAAATCCCTGTTGGCTCCTCTGGTTTGAGCCGACGATGTGGGTGCATGGGCACACCCCAACTGAGCCCCCCCCTTAGCAAGGCCCCAGCGTGGAGCTGTGGGGAGAAGGGCTAAAGAGAGGGGACAAACCTACCACCAGCACTGGCAAGGGCAGATGCCGGCAGCTGCAGGGATGGGGTGTCGCGGTGCAGGGGGTTCCCTTTCAAGGGTGCATAAATCCCCCCTGGAAAGCACACGCCAGAATCCCCCCCTGGAGGTGCAGGTCCCAGCCTCAGCTTCTGCAGCCACCGGGAGCAGAAGTGGGTACTTCTCCGGGGCATTTTGGCGTTGCCCTTTGCAGGGGACCCACAAGCCACAGCCCAGCCACATCCCAGGGAGCCCTGGGCAGAGACAACACTTGAGGGGGGGACGG